AAAAAAAATTGTTAAAATTGATGAGTACATAGTTTTTGCCTCACTCGGTCTCTGTCTGAAATTCCCAGTTCCCTCTGGCAATGTCTATCAAATCCTTCAAGATTCGCCTCTTCCAAGAAGCCATTTCAAGTTAATTACTTTATACTCTGTCCCCTTTTTATTGTCTGCCACGGTTAAATAATTCCAACACTCACATAAGTGCCCGGGAAAAGAATCTGCCTCATCACCACAGGGCCCTGTAAAACATAACCTCTTAAATAACGACAGGCAAGCCTGAGTCCACCATACAGAAGCCCCCATGGCTGGCCACACCTCTCCCCAGCTAGACCTGCATCCCCCAGAAAAGACACCTCTGAAGCATGGGTCGGGAACACAGGATGTGCTCAGTAAATGTTGACTGAGTGACTATATGAATAAATGCCCAGTGGTTTTCAACAGCAGAACTTCAATAGCCTCAGGGACTCTACAAATGCTTGACTCAGACTTCATTAAACTTATATATGTGTGTGCATACACCCATATGTACTCAATTTTTTTCTTGGCAGCTGGCCAGGATGGGGATCTGAACCCTTGACCTTGGTGTTATACCTCCATGCTCTAACCAACTGAGCTAACCAGCCAGCTTACTCAATATTTTTTAATGAAGAAAGGTTTTTTAAAGAAGCAAGCAAGTATGTATCTATTTGCCAAATTTCAATATTCTAGAAACTCAGAAAGAATTAACTTGTGTTCTCATGAACTGATTTTATGTTTTATACAAGGGCACTTCAAAAAGCTCATGGAAAGTTTATATTATCTTTTAATTCTATGTTTCCCATGAACTTTTTGAAGTACCCTCATAAATGGCTGCTTTGGGTTAAGTGTGTCCTCCAAAAGTTCATGAATTAGAAACTCAACTCCCATTGTAACAGTGTTATTAAGAGGGTGCGAAATCCAATTATGGTAATTGAAAAGTGGGTCCTTTAAGAGGCAATTAGATTGTGAGGACTGTGTCCTCATAAACGGATTGATCCATTCATGGAGTAATGTGCGTGGCTCTGATGGCTTTAAAAGCAGAATAAGTGAGGA